TTCTTTCCGAACGGCAGCAGATATATTGCGTTGGTGCCAGACAAGGAAACGTGTGATAGTTTTCGGCTCGCTCCAGCCGATCCTGCAACAAAAGTGCCTTTAGATGTTGCTTATATCACAACCTGGAACTAGTGATGTTCATTAAAAAAATGTATGTTTGCTATAGGTAGGCAATGAAGTTAATAAGGACGAGTCACTTACAATAGCTATTGTTTTTTTTACAATTCCTCAGATACTATACGTGGTCATTTACGCTGCTTGTGCTCGTTGGACTCGTACTGGAGTACATTTTAAAGCCCTTCTCAGCCTTGTAAAATTGCGTAAACATTACTTTGTCAAAGTTCCACGTGACTAGAAGGCGAAAGAGAGTTTCAGTGCTTGTGTGTATCTCTATAAAATGGAAAGACACACTGTCGCGCCGCGATTTTGCTATAAATTCCTGATTTTACCATGTTTGGTTCAAGGTGAATCATGAGATAAAGCCAACCAACCTCGCATACCGACAAGTCAAACGATCATTTTATCGTTACACACGCATCTAGATCGATGGTTCGTCTGCGCTGGTAAAAACAATGATTGTGAGTACTTTCACGCTTGTGATCATACGAAACATTTGTTGCTTGGAACTTTTTTCATTCTGGCCCGCCGAAAGTGGGACTTGAGTAATCTACACTGTGATTGACAGCAAGAGAAACATTTATTTATGCATCCACAATCTTTCTCTGGTGGCAATATCACGCTTGTAATACATAAAAATTAGCTCTAATCGTAGGACACGCGACCACCTTATCTTAATTACAGCGAATTTAAAAGCTGCTGCATCAATGTTTTGGATCTCTTCTTCTCTAATGTTTTACGGATACAAAATTTGCTAAATTGACTTAGCACGGGACTTATTCTTTTAATGTCCTTAGTGGAAGCTCAGAAGTACCAATGTGAAGTACCATTATGATGTACAAGACGGATGAGAGTGATGTAACATAATTAGCGCCGACTCTGAAAGATCTGTGCAGGATTCGCGGTTTCCTCGTTGCACAAATAAAGCTCATCTTTTTGAAGCTGCATCATAATCTGGATATTTATTTGATGGAGAAAAAAATTAATGTCGTTTCCGTCCTTACGTTAACTATTCCAAATTCCGCTGGTCTGTTCAAAAACTACCTAGCTTAGTTGTGACTACAGATGGGTAAAAAACAAGGCAACAAGCAAGATAATGCAGATTATTACATAGCTGTGTATAATCTTAGACAAGGTAAG